AAATTTGCAAAGTCATTCAGCTAACACGTAGTAGATCCAGGATTGAATCTGTTTCTAATAAAAACAATAAATCATACATTAAACATTTACAATGTGTTGGACATAGTCTAGCCATTTTGTTTTTATTAGGTAAGAATTACTTCAAAACCCTGAGGTATTATTATTATTATTATTATTATTATTATTATTATTATGCCCATTGTACAAGGGAAATTACAGGCAGAGAATATGAACTTTCCCAAGGTCAAGTTAAGAGATGGCACAGCCTCTGACCTCTAAGAATCAAGTACTGGAGAGATTGGGGGCAGGGCAAATAGTTATTGTCCAGGTGGGTGATAACCAGGCCTGAAAGTATGGGGAGAGATTCACCAGACACTTCCGATGATCTCTGTGTTATCTATATGGAGAAGGTGAGAATGGGAGAGATGGGGAGAAAAGGGAGAGGTGAAGATAATTGTGAATTTTCTTGCATGCTTGGGGAACTAAGTAGATGGTGACACCGTAACTAAGAACTAGAATGCAGATAAACTGGCACTGCATTTACATTCTGTGTTTAAGAGCTGGCATTTATTTAGCTGTTTCTCCAGCTTCACAGTGAAATGCATGAGGAAGAATCGTGTGTTCTCATCTTCAACATAAAACTTATTGACGGATAGATAGATTATAACAAAAACTCTTAACAGAACTCTCAATGGACCCAGTCCCTGGCTTATAATCAGGTAAAGGACGAAGGCAATAAATAATGGAAAAATTAGCAAAAAGTACTATAAAAGAGGTAAATAAATGCTTTGGCAGATCATGATGGTGCAGGGTCCAGGTGACAGAGGATCTTGTAAGATATGGAAGATGTTCAATTTTCATTTCAGGTATAATTAATGAATTTTAAGCAAGGAAGTAACATCACATGTTAAAACACCTGGCTCCCCCAACTTTTTTTTTTTTTTGCAACTTATGCTGAATGCCACTACTTTCCAGACAAGACTATGGGAATAAGAGTAGAAGCAAAGAGGCTACTTAGGAGGACCAGAGGCAATGGATGGTGGCTTAGTTATTTGCCGTTTCTCTAACAGAATACTGGAGACTAGATGATTTATAAAGAAGAAGGGTGCATTTGATTTATAAAGAAGAAGGGTTCACAGCTCTGGAGGGTGGGAAGTTCAAGAGCATGGCACTGGTATTTTCTGGCTCCTGGTTAAGGTCTTGTGCTACATCATAACATGGTGGAAAAGTGGAAGGCAAGTGGGCACATGAAGAAGAGACAGCTTGAGGAATGATCTCATTTCATAACAATCTTTTCTCAGTAATCCAGTCACGCAGGAGAACGAACTCACTTCTAGAATTAACTCAGTCTCACTTGAGAGGCATTAATCCCTTCATTAAGGTGGCATTCTCATGACCCTAACATCTCTTCAAGGCTCCACCATCTCCCACCACTGTTAAATTCAGGGAGAATTTTGGAGGGTTCAAACCATAGCAGGAGGTAAAGGGAGTGGGTAGAGACTGAAAAATATTTTGAGAGAAGCAAGTGGACCTGTTGATGGAACAGGATGAAGAGAAAAAGGGAGAAGTCAAAGATGACACCTAGGTTTCTAGTTTGAGCAATTGGATAAATAATGTGTCATTTACCAATATCATAGCTACTGTAGGAGGAAAAAATTCTGAAGGAAAATCATAATCAGACACATACCTGTGCGCATGTATAAGCATGGTACCAGAGCTATTGAAGAGTACATCGGGCTGGGACTTTTACAGTCTGATTTGTGTTACCACTAAGAGCAATAACTTCTGTTATTTCTTGTCCCCCATCCCCCACCCCATCTGCAACTTGGGGATAATTATATCTGTCTTTACTGCTCCACAGGGAAGCTGAGAAGATAAATGAGATAATATATATGAAAGGACTTTGAAGTCTTGGGAAGATAAAAACTGTATACATCCAAGCTATCATTATTATGTCACAGAATGTGTTTATATTTTTCATGTATCTGCTCAAAGTCACAGGGGTCATAAGCATAACACACATTCTTTCCCTTCATGTTCAGTTCTCAGAAATGAGAAAATTAATATGCTTCTCCTTCCCCACTGTCCCTTCCTTATGGTAGTCTCTTGACAGGATTTTCAATTGCAAGTATTTTAAGGCTCTGGAAAGAAAGAATAACTAGTATAACTCTGGCTGGGTGATTCTTGGCTGATAATGATGATGATATCTTACTTTAATATAGATGTGCAGATTGAAAAGAAGCAGGACATTATCTCATCTACATGTCTAATACCATTCGAAGAAATTTTTTTTTAACTGTTTGACAGAAAATGGCTCAAGAGATTAAAGAACTTGCCTAAGGCTTCATTTAACAGCCAGAGTGAATAGAACTAGTAAAAGAGTTGTGTCTCAATCTAGGCATGGTGGCACATTTGTGATCTCAGTGACTCTGGAGGCTGAGGCAGGAGGATTGCAAATTGAGGCCAGCCTCAGCAACATAGTGAGACCCATGTCTGAATAAAAAATTTAAAAAGAACTGGGGGAGGGGCTGGGCTTGGGAGGCCGAGGCAGGAGGATCTCGAGTTTAAAGCCAGCCTTAGCAATGGCGAGGCACTAAGCAACTCCATGAGACCCTGTCTCTAAGTAAAATACAAAAATAGGACTGGGGATGTGGCTCAGTGGCTGAGTGCCCCTGAGTTCAATCCCTGGTACCAAAATAAGTAAATAAGTAAATAAATAAATAGAACTGGGGATGTGTCTCAGTGGTAGCAATGCCCTTGGGTTAATCCCCAGCATGCCTGCCTCTGCCCCAGAAAAAAAGTTGTGTCCTAAAAATAGGACATGCACCAGAGACATTCAGAGAACTTCACCCAAGTCTCAGATAATATTCATGGGGATGTATGTGCTGGTTTCTTCTATCATTGCAGTCTTGGGACATAGTATCTTCAGTTCTTTGAAAATGGGTGTTAATTTCCTAGAGTTGACCTTGTATGTTGCTCTAACAACAACAAGAAGAGCAGCAAGTGGAAATAAGAATAAAACAAAAACTTGTCTTTTGCTCCCCACTGTAAATACATGACCAACTGTTTCTTCTTTCCCTTGGGAATAGATGAGCTGTCCTTAGTGTTGCTTCGGGTAAAGGGTATGACAATAATATGTAAAAGAGAGAGAGGCTTGGAATGATGGAAAGAAAACTGGACTTGGAATTAGAAAAGCTGGGTTGAGTCTTGGTTCAATATTACTTATTGCATGACAGGGGAAGGAAGATACCCACTTGAGCTTCAGTTTTAGTAACTATAAAGTCAATGTAACAATCCTTTCCTGTTTGTTGACTAACTTTCCAGTCAGCCTCATCTTCATCTGCACAGTTCCAGATGCAGAATTACAATGGAGTAAACACTCATTTTCAGAATGGTTTGTTTGCAGATAGATTAAAACATTCTCCAACCCATCTATTCCTTCTCTTGTCTTTCTCAACTCAAATGCATGTGCACTTTCTCCCTTCTAATGGAGAAGGAAGTGGAGCTCAGACAATATCACTCTCAGCACATTAATCTATTTAGAACAAAGCTGAGGAAGGATGACATAATAGGTTGCTGTGCGACTTGAATTAATACATGTAAAGTGTTTAGCACAGTGTCTGGCTTGCAGTGAATGATAATTGTTACTTGTTATAATTTTTGCTTACTTAAGTGATCCTCATTTGTCTTGAATGGTTTAGCTATGGCCCTGGCTGGAGACCAGAGGATAATCTGACTCTTCTTCAAATTGTCAGTCTGATTGGAGGCCTGGCAGGGATTTCTTGCCAAATCTCTGTAACCCTTTCTCCTTATTTATGCCTAGTTTCTGCCAACGTTTGAAGAAAAAAAAATTATATATGTAAATTAAGTGCAAATAATAACAACTTTGAGATCAATGACAAAATTTTAACTCGGTTTCCCAAACCTCCAAGCCTGTGGACAAGGGCGTTTTTCAAAACTAAGCTTCAGAGTTTACAGGTGTGTGCCTGGGGCAACCAAAACAAAGATTACAGTGGTGAAGATGGCTGCCTCCCAGGCTCAGATAAAAGAGGTGCCTCCCAGCGAGCTTCTCGGCGCCAGCCCACCTGAGGTCAGACTTTGAATTCTCCCCGTTTAGGGCAGGTGTTGAGTTTGGGTTTTAAGCTCAGCCCACTGTTCTCCTAGTCTTCCTCCACCCCGATTGTGAGTTTTGGGGTCTGCAATGGTCCAGACTAGCTCGGGGTTGTGTGGGAGGGTGATGCTTAGGGAAGAAACGCCAGGCGGAATCCCGCAGCTGGACCGCGGCCCCAGGACTGTCCCCCACCGATTCAGCACGCCACTCCGGACCTCAGGGGCACAAACACTTCGCTCAGGCCCTACGGACAGTGTCCAGGACTGGGCGAACAGGCGCAAAGCAGAGCGGATCGGTTCCCGCCAGGGCTGCTCCCGCCCTTCCTACGACCCAGCCCCTCGTGTTCCGAGCCGACGGTCTCGGGCCGCCGGGCACCGCGGGGCAGGAGGACAGCCTCCTCCGGTCAGCCCTTGCCCCGGGCTCCTTCCTTCTGCACTCAGCCTCCACTTCCAGCGCCATCTCCCTGGGAGCTCCATTTTCCAGGCGTGTTTTCCTCCGAGAGAAGGCGTCAGTCCCCAAACCTCCCTCCTCGCTGCTCCCCAGGGATCTGGTTTCCCGGGCCCCGGGCTCCTGCAGCGTCTCCTCCGGCCGCCGCCCCCATCCTGCCCCTGGGTCCGAAGGGGTCGGGCGCGCAGGTAGCTCAGCGCCGGGAGAGCCGCTGCGCCCGGCGCCTCCCAGAGGTGCGGCTGCCGCTCCGGGGGGAGGCGCTGTAGCGCGGGGCCGCCCCCTCGCGCCCCGGGCGACGGCTGCGGCTCAGCCTCCTTCTCCTCCTCTTCCTCCGCCCTCCTTGGCTGGGAAAGTGGGAGGCGGCGGCGGCGGCGGCGGCGTGCTGTGTGTGCGCGCGTGAGGGGGGCAGCAGAGAGGAGTCTCCCGGTGCCACCGCGGCGTCAGAGACACAGCGAACGGCGGGCGCGGCGGGGCCGCATCTGCACCGGCCCCGGCGGCCTCTGCGGGGCCGCGAACAAAGAGGAGGAGCCGAGGCGCGAGGTAGGGCGCGCGGCGGGCGCGGGGCCGGGGGACCCGGTGTCGGCAGACCCTCGCCGCGAAGGCGGCGGAGGTCGCTGTGTCCCCCCACCCCCGCACTGGTCAGTCTCTGCCCCCTCACCCGCGCGTCTCCTTGGGCCGGCCACCGGGACCTGCGGGAACCGAGCCCGCGGCCTCTCTGCCTTCTCCGGGCAGGAAGCTGCCCAGGCTCCGTGCCGCGGTTTCCCCGGGCGCAGCCCAGCGCCTCAGCTTCCCGGATGGCTTGCTGGCTCTCCCGGGAGTCGCCTCATCTCTGCGGGGCGACAGATCTGCTTCCCAGGGCACTTTGTGGGGCTGAGTTTCGCAACTTAAGGCTGCACGTTTATTTTTAAGTCCTTGAAAACTTCCCGCAGTCGTGGGGGGAATTTTCTGTCCTCAGCCTGACCTGATGGGAGACGGAGATGAGGCTGTTGGGTGAGATCCCCGTTCCCGGACCCATCCGGCCGCGGCCGAGCCCCAGCCCCAGCCCGAGCCGCAGCCCCAGCCCTGGACCGTCCTCTGCCTGCGCCGCGGACACCTGGCTCTGGGGTGTGTCTGCGGCTGGCGGCGCCGCGCCTCCTGCGGGGTCGGGGACTACCTGTGCTCCGCCGCGCGTAAGGGGGCGCAGCCCTGGAGCTCCCCAACCCCTACTTGGTCCAGAACAGCTGTCGGTGGTGCCATCCCAGTCTTTTCACTTTTCACCCCTTTGCTCCTAGGCATTCACATTTACATTTATTTTAGTGGTGGCGGTGGTGGTGGGGGGGTTGCGTGGAACAGTAACTGGTTTATAAATGCGTCTTCCTGAATGGGCCCCATTTTCATATTATGCTCACAGTTTTCAGCTCAGCATTCCATTGTCGAATTCTTTTGGTGGTAATTTTGCTAGATTTTCTGAATGGGATTAGGACCCGCCGTTCAGAAATCTGTTATTCGGAGTTTGTCAACCACTACCACCAAGGGTGCTGTGATGTCTTAGCTATTTTCAAGCCCATCTTATATCCTTAAGAATTTTCAACCTTAAGGTCTTGGGTTGGACAAGATTAAACAGTTGTTTTTAAGACAGAGAAGCAACATATGTATTTATTATTGGAATCTTGCCACCAGGGTCACGTGAGATTTGGTTTCTTAAACGCTGAAGTGGCTTAAAAATCGGGAACTTCGTTAGGTTTAAAAGTAATTTCAGGTAGAGGAAACTCAATTGCTTCTGTTCAGCTTCTCCTCTGAGTTGAAGACTGTACTGAGGCAACTTTCAGAGCTGAAAAAATGTTCTTTACTGCATTTCATATACCCTGTTTATTTCAGGAGTCCTGTAAAATAATTGATAGCCATTTCTGCACAGCAGACTCCTAGATAGATTAGCAATTAATTCTGAGTTGTTTAAAAACCCTGTTTGTTTTTTAATTGTTGACTTTGGAGTTTAGAACCACATTCCAAAGCAAAGCTGCGCCATGCAGAGGAAGCACTTTTGTATACTTTTTGGTTCTTGGCTCCTCTGAACTTTTCTCCAGATAACGCTAATTTTCTCTTTCCTCCTCCTTTCCTCATGACTCTAGAGCAAAGTCTGAAATGGATGTTACATGAATCATTTTAAGAGCTGCATACAACTATGAACATTTCTGAAACCCTTTTCTCAGTAAAGTAGATCAAGATGGATGAATCTGCCTTGTTGGATCTTTTGGAGTGTCCTGTGTGTCTAGAACGCCTGGATGCTTCTGCAAAAGTCTTGCCTTGCCAGCACACGTTTTGCAAACGGTGTTTGCTGGGGATAGTAGGTTCCCGGAATGAACTCAGATGTCCCGAGTGCAGGACTCTTGTTGGCTCTGGTGTTGAGGAGCTTCCCAGTAACATCCTGCTGGTCAGACTTCTGGATGGCATCAAGCAGAGGCCTTGGAAACCTAGCCCTAGTGGGGGCAGTGGGACCAACTGCACAAACGCATTAAGGGCTCAGGGCAGCACTGTGGCTAATTGTAGCGCAAAAGATCTGCAGAGCTCCCAGTGTGGACAGCAGCCTCGGGTGCAAGCCTGGAGCCCCCCAGTGAGGGTGAGTAGCCTCCAGAGGCAATTTGGTAAATAAATGTTGTGGTGACCATATTTTTCTGTATTCTTTAGCTTTATGTTTTCTAAATCAGCTCACTGCTTAAGAAGCAACACTTACTGGAACAGATTGGACATTATACCTCTATACCTCACGATCTTTATTTTTTTCTTTTTCCATCTTGGAATGAGGTAGGATGTAAATAATATAATTTTCTTGTTTTTAAAATTTTTTCCAGCTAGTCTCTATTGCTTTTTAAGGTATATTTTGGGAAACGGCATTTATTCAATGAAATCTAAAACAGCAGTTTTTCGTCCCTATTTTAAAATGAAATTTGATATGGTTTTCCCCTTTTTGTGGAGTTGGGAGTCATAATTGTGGGAGTGTGTACATATGCATATTTATGTTGTAAATATGCATGTGGATAGAGCATAAGTAGGAAATCAATCCTTATTTTTTTGTGTTGCTTAGAGTCATTCTCCTGATTTTATGAATGCACAGCACAGAATTTACTGGTTGGAGGAATTCTTAACAAATCATGGCCACAGGTAGTAGAGTTTCGTTGCCATAGCAACAGAATATCACTTAGGACTATGCTGAACCATCTAGCTTTATATTGGGCTTTACAGGTAGTGAAATGAAATATTTCCATCAAAATGATTTTTCTTGGGGTTGGGCTGAAGTAATTTTAGGTGAAGTTAAATATTTGCACAGTTGTTACAATTTAAATTTCTAGAAGGTGGAGTATTCCACATAAATATAAATTGTGTTGCATACGCTGGCTTCCTGATAAGATGGGCTTTTGTCAGTTTTTGCAAAAATGAAAAATAGTCATGGACATCAGATAATGAAAATGGTTCCATTTTTGTTGGAAGAAGCAATTTTGGTAATTGGCCAAACTCGTAAAAATCTACTTTTAGAAAGTAATTAAGCTGGATGAGAATTTTTTTTTGAAATGCTGATAGTCAAAATTCAAAATTGACTTTTTTCATTTAATATAGAACTTCCTGTTAGGATAGCATTATAATATGAATTTACGGATGTGGATATCAGACAACTACAACTGAGTGGTAGTCCCCTTACCGCTTTCTCAGGCTCATCTTTAGCAAATGATATAATGCATTTACATCACTGGATGTGAAGTATGTAAACCATTGTTTGGTTCGTTAGAGTACAGTTTCCTCATTTGACTATCAGGTTTCTTTTGATTCATATTTAATTTCCTTTTTTAAAGAACCAGACGAGGTGATATGGCCAGGCACGCCCATAATTCCAGGGACTGGGGAGGCTGAGGCAGGAGGATTGTTAGAAGCCAGTCCAGGCAAGTTGGTGAAACCTTGTCTCAAAACAAAAAATAAGAAAAAAAGGGCTGAGGATATAGCTTAATGGTAGAGTGCTTCTCTTGAATGAAGGAGACCCTGGATTCAGTCACCAGTTTAAAAAACAAAAACAAAACAAAACAACAACAACAACAACAACACACACACACACACACACAGAGAAAACTCTAGGTTAGGGAAGCTTTCCTTATCTGGAGCCCACATGTTGTGAAATTGACCTGCTTTCCTTTTTACCTTTATTTTTTGACTATCTTGATCAGTGTATATGGATTCATGAATATTTTCACCTCAGAACTAGTGATCAAGTGATAATTTCTAAGACTCCGGACCCTGGTCTGCTTACCTTCGTTAATGAAGGGGTAGATTTGCATCTTAGGAGAGGTTTTGTTTCCCTCTTAATTAGACTAGAGAAAACATGGCTTCCGGCTGTGAGGAGGAGTGTCTTGGTTGTTGACACACCATACCTGTTGTGCGGAATGTGTTGAGTGTTTGATCACTGATAAAAAGGAATTTCACTGCTAAAAAGGAGAGGCTCAAACATTCCACTTAATGTCCATTAAATTTTAAGTTTTCTTTCTAACATAAAAATTGACCATTTAATGCTATTTAAGTGAAAGAGCTGAACTGCTGTATTCCTAAGATTGAACTTCACTTTTCTTAGGTAAGTTGTTTGGAGATTTTGATCATGTTGTTGTTATTTTTCTGGCATGTGTGATTTTCCTAATTTGCTTCCATTTTTTTCTTTGGCATGAGACAAATTACTTGCCAAGAAGCTGAACTGAACCTGAGCCTTATAATTCATGTGAAACAGTTGAAGTGACTCAAACAGATGTGTCTGTTACTACTACTACTGGTGGTTGGGTTGAAGCAAATGATAGAATACTTATCAAAAGAACAACTTTTTTTTTTCCCCTCTAGTTACTCTTTAGCATTTACTGGTATCTTTTGCTTTTGCAAGTATTCAGAATAACCAAGGCTACCCATATGCTCCAAGCACCTGAAAGTAAATAATATCTCTAGAACATACTCCTTTTAAAAGAAAGAATTCTGTAACATACAGCCACGTGGCAGTGTAATACACTCTTTGGGACACTTCCCTGAGGTGAGCCAGGGTAATAAATCCCAAACGTGCATCCTCCTCCCTCAGATGTTCTGACACAACCAAATGGTGCCGTGTGCCTGTTTCCACATGTTGTGCAAAGCTGAAAGTGATAACATGTGGAATGCTGCTTGAGTTTACTAGTTATGTTCTGTGTTACATTAGATTGTGACCATGTGGCTTCCTCATGCATTTAGCCAGGGTAGATTGAATGTTATCAGCAGATCTGAACATTTCCAATGTGTGACACACATCTTGTTCCCAGAATTTTAGTGTTTCCTGTCTAATATGAAGGAGAAAAGAAAGAGTAAGTGTTAGATTGGAGTCACCATGGGATCTGACAGTTCTTTACCTGGAATAAAGAGTTCCTATTGGTTGGTTGTTGGCTAGAGTCAAGCAGCAGAATGAGCCATAGGGAGAAGGAGATGGCAGATACATACTGTTTTAATGCACTAAACCGGGTGCCTGTAGAACATTGTTGTCTATCTAATCCTCTTTATATATATTGTGTGTGTATGTGTGGATGATGAAGAACATATTTAAGTAGTTTTTAAGTAATTCCTATAGAATTGTGACCTAATAGAATAAATTTCTGCTTTCAATGTGTAATTCCATTGACTTGAGATCTACTAATAACACAGTACATGTGTTCGTCCACCTAGATATCATTACCTAATGATTTTATACTGTCTCCACCTCAATGTGAATTTATTCAACAAAAATAGATCACATGACCACTAATTCACACTAATTTACTTTTCATTTGTCCTTTATTTTATTTAACAAGTTTTATTAAGCACTTATTAGGTGCCAAATTCTACACCAGCTGGATAGGTAATGATGGACAGACCAGAGGTAGATTCTGCTGATGAACTTTCTTTTCTTTTTTGCAATGCTGGGGATCAAACCCAGGGTTTTACTCATGTTAGGCAGGTGTTCTACAGCTGAGCTACATATATCCCCAGCCTATTGCACATGAACTTTTATGTATGTATGTATGTATGTTTGTGGTGCTGAGGATCAAACCCAGTGCCCCACACATGCTAAGCGAGTACTCTACCACTGACCCACAACCCCAGCCCTGCACATGAACTTTTGAGTGTGTGGTCAGTCTCTCAGGAGAGATATTAATAACATAGCAATTCAGATATGTAACTAAAGGTGTTAAGTCCTATGACAGAGAGCAAGAGGAGCCCATAGGAGAAGGATCTGTGTTTCATGTGAAAATAAATGTGTAGCCCTTTGTGGTGGTGCATGCCTGTAATCCCAGCAGTTTGGGAGGCTGAGGCAGGAGGATCACCAGTTCAAAGCCAGCTTCAGCAACTTCGCAAGACCCTATCTCTAATTAAAAAATATATAAAAGGGCTGGGTATGTAACTCAGTGGTTAAACACCCCTGGATTTAATGCCTGCTGACCCCCACCCTTCCCCCAGAAAAGTGTATGTGTGGGGGTCTCAAAATTTTCAGTGAGGAAGAGGTATTAAGTAAGATCTTAACAGTGAAATAATGTTAATTTTATGAGTGGGGCTGGACTGGAGAAGGGGCAGAAGGGAAGAGCATTCAAAGACCTTGACCTATAGCAGGAGGGGCTTGACTCCTAGGAAGAACTGACAGAAGGTGAGCCGTGAACTGAGCAAGCTGCAAGCTGCAGGAATAATTAAAGACAAGCCTCAAGTCTGTTAACCTACAAGGCATTAAGAACCACCACAAGGGGTGGTTAAGGGCTAAATGGGTGCCAGAGAAGTAAGGACTCTTCACTTGGGATTGGAAAGGTGGATCATTGGGATTGGGATGATGAGCAGAGATTTAGAACTGACCTGGGCTTGGAGCTTGGAGTCAAAGGATTGGGACAGAGGAAGGGTAGAGAAATCTAAATATGAAGGAACATGGGTGAAATTCCCTTTTCCCTGCAAGCACCACGTGTGCTTTCATTTCTTCATAGCCACAACCTCACCTCCTTTCCTTTTTCCAATTTTTTACTCTTATGGGCTGAAATGTATCCTTCAAAATCCTTCTTATTGAAATACTAATCCTTGATACCTCAGAATGTGGCTCTGTTGGAGAAGTGGTCTTTAAAAAGGTGGTTAAGGTAAAATGAGGTCATAGGCATGGACCCTAATCCAAGATGACTAGTCCTTATATGAATAGAAGATCAGACAAGAGAGGGAAGACCATGGGAAGACAGGTGGAGAAGATGGCCATCTGTAAGCCGAGGAGAGAGACATCAGAAGAAAAGAGCCCTGCCAACATTTTGATTTCAGACTTCCAGGCTCTAGAATTGTGAGAAAACAGATTTCTGTGTTGTAGAAGCCACACAGTCTGTGGTTCTTTGTGACGGCAGCCATGGCTGACTGTGCATGCTTCTAAAGATCACCCCCTTGAGTGGCCTCTTGGTCCACTGCCAGTCCCTTCAGTCCTTGTTTCCCCCAGAGGACTGTGGTGGCCTAACCCATCTGCATCTTTTCTTCTGAGGTGGAATACCCTTGGGAAGCAGTTCAGACCCTCCTACCCACCGCCACTGCCCAATTGCCTGTTAACAATTTCATAAAGTAGAAAGGAATGCTGGA